AAAAAAAAAAAAAAAAAAAAAAAAAAAAAAAAAAAAAAAAAAAAAAAAAAAAAAAAAAACTTATAATTCAAGCAATATTATAATTATGGAAATTATAATTTTATTATTTTAACAATAATTTAATGATTCATTTGCTTATCTTTTGTTCATTTTTTTTCAAAATATTAATTTTCTTAATGACAAATTCTTCACAATATAAAATTATTAAAAATAAAATCGGTGGATTAATTATTAAAAAAACTCCACCAATTCTCCGGCAACTGAATAATTATAATTAAGAATATAAACATGGATTAGTTAATATTAATAAAGTCAACAAAATTAAACCCAAATTTCATCATGATGCCACCAAACCTTTTTGACTTCAAAATCATCACGCGCAATCAAACAAAATTTAAATTAAAAAATGACAATTACTTTAATAATTTCTCACCCAAAAAAAAACTAACCTTTCCGGCAGCCGGTGCCGGCCAAATATCCGTCGCCGACGAGCTCATCCCGGCATCGGCACCGATGAGACAGCTCCCCATTACCCGGCGACCGAAGCTCCGTGCAGTTAGCATCTACATGACAAGAACGGCGGCAGCTCCCCGGAAGCCACCAGCCGAGCTCCAACGTTTGAATTTCCAGAGAGATTCCAGCAGAGGCGTTGCTGTTGAGCGCGAGCGCCTCCGCTGAAATCGATGACAGAAGGTAATCGCAGTTGGTGGCGGTGAGGTTTTTGAAATCCAAGAAACCGGCGGCGGCGGTGGCGGTGGCGGTGGCGTTCTGGGTGTAGCAGCTAATACTAGTGCGATTAACAGAGCAATTGGGGGGTGACTCGAATTTGGTCTGAACCATCGTCGTCGGCAAGAAACAAGTGGCAATCGGAGAAGAACAGTTTTGTAATAGAATGGCGTTGTTTACTGTCGGCGCGTAGTGATGGCTAAAGAATTGGCGAATTGTGTGGAGGCGGCGGTTGCATTTGGCTTTGGTTACGAGTTTGATATGATCGGAGTTAATGGATTCAACTGGGAATTCTCCGATCATGGCAGCGCCGTCGTGGGTGCAGTTCAGCCGTATTAAGCAGTCGGCGGAGAAGCCAAATGGGTAAGGAAAATCGTGGGGGAGGTGGCCGGAAGTGCAGGATTTTGAGCATTTTGCCTCTGTTTTGGCCGTCAAAATCAGAATCAAAAGGAAAATTGTGAAATTTAAGAACTGGGTTTTGGAGATCATAGATGGAAGAGTTGAAGTGGGCGAGAAAATGTTGGTGTTTGGCTGAGATTTTCCGGGAAAGTGATGAATTTTCTCGGCATCTGAGAATTTGATTGAGGAAAGTGTGGAGCTGAAGCAAGAGGAACGGAAAACAGGGAATGATTCTTAACATTTGGCTGGCTTATCCTAATTGTTTTTTTTTTTTTAAAATTAATTTAATGGGAGATTTGACAATTACTCTTTCAAAGTCATCAACTAAGTCATTCACCTACTATTATTCATATAACGTTTCACACAATCGAGCTCAACAAGAACATTCGTTTAAAATAAGAATGTCTCGAACATTTTAAATACTAAAAATGATTAGTTTTGTTTACTATCTTTGAGTGGAGCAGTAAAAAATTAACATTTTATATAAGAATATATTTAAAATAGGACTTTAGGAAAATATCCGTTTTTGCCACCTTGGATTTTTCCGTCATCACACTTTGGTCAAACATGATTTAGTCCGGGGAAATATGATAATCAAATGAGTGAGAATTTTCACTTAAATAATGAGAGATTTTTTTATTACTTAATTAGGGTGGAATTTACAAATTATAAACTAATTAATTATATAAATATATTTCTTTTTTTACTCAATAAATAAAAAATAAATATGTGGGATTCTAAATAGGACGTGTATAAAAATAAATAATAATAAAATTAAATAAATTAAAAATAAATATTTATTTTGAATACACGACTTATATTAATATACAAAATTTTCATTTATTTCAATTCAATTACTAACTAATTAAAATATTCAAATGCGTGACATGGCCAATCATTCAGATGACATGGCAAATGAGAAACGAGAGGAGGGTAAAAATGTAACAAAAGTAGATAATACAGCAGCAAAGTTTAATCTGAAATTTGTATTATATTGACACGTGTACTTAGAGTGGGTCCCAATACAAGGCTCTGATTGGTTGAATCTGTCGTGATTTTAATTAATTAATCAATTATTAAATACCGTATTGAGCTTGAAATTGAGAACTGCTCTGTTTTTGTTTTGTACCGTGGAAAAAAGAAAGGTAAAAAGTAAAAAGTAAATGTAAAACCTTTTTTATCTTCCCGTCCTTTTCACCTTACCAATAATTTTCCGCAAATTCAGGGGAGCCATGGGTAGTTATGTAATTAACCAGTTTTGCTTTGAATTGGGCTTGGCCCATTTAAACTATATTTTGGACTATTGGTCCAACTTGGGCCCAAAGCTTTTAGTATTTATTTTAATTAATTTCGTTAAATTACTATTTTAATTAATTTGTTAGATAAACATTACATGGCCAAAAAAAAAAAGGAATTGGTCTAGAGTGAAGTGAAGGGTTCATCCACCCATTTTCTCTGACGAGCCTCGCCGGTTTTGTCGCCAAAAGGCGAACTGAACAGAGCTCCGACCACTGCCCGGAACTTGTTAACACGCTTCCGCTGCCGGATTTGCCGCAGCACCACCGCCTTCTCTTGTACTTGGGTGGAATGGGAAGACTTCAACCGAATATGCCTCGTCACATCTGGGCCCGCCGCCGCGTCTGCCACCGTCTTCTCCTTCTCTTGATCTCCGACAGGATAAGACTGAGGTGTTATAGCCGCCATTGTTTTTGGGAGCAGAAAAAATCAGAATGGAAGTGAGATAGAGGTGGTTTGGGACAACCGGACAAGTGGGTTATTTAAAGGGGACGGTGACATTGGGAAGCGCGCGGTGGAATCCGACGGCGGTGCAGAACCAGGAGGGGTCCAGGGTTTTGTGGCCGGCCGGTGATCAGAGTATATTGTAAATTATATGGAATTATGAGATGCTTGCCGTCCAAGTTGAATTTTTGTCAGTGTAGTGTGTGAATTTGGCCCCTTTTTATTTTTATATTATTTATCCGTGACAGTCTTGTTAGACGAACACGACTCTCCACAATGGTATGATATTGTCCACTTTGAGTGAAAGCTCTCATGACTTTGTTGTGGGCTTTCCAAAAGTTCTCACACCAATGAAGAGTGTATTCTTAGATTATAAACCCATGATCATTCCCTAAATTAACCGATGTGGAACTTTCATCATCCAACAAGTCTCAACATTTACCTTCATCCCTGCCAACATACTCGTGTTATTTATTTTTATCTTTTAAGAGTGAAGATTGACCCACATAAAATTGTTCTAACAAAACACGTTTAATTTTATCTACAAAAAAGTAAATTGTATACTTTGTTGATATTTGTAGTAACTTTTATCTACGTACTTATGGTTAGAAGTGTACATGGTTCGAGTTGGTTCGAGTTGAACTTTTTTTACCCAACCCAAAGTTCTGTTAGTTGGATTGGTAACCCAACCCAATCTTCTATTTTCTGTTTGAATTATCAACTTATTTTAAGTTTTATTTATTCATAATTTATAATTATTCTATTCCATCTAAAAGATAAAATATATTAAAAGTTCAAAAACAAACCTAAATCAATATATAATTATTGGAAAAAAAAATAAATTCAATAAAAAACAAGCCGTATCACTCTAGCAAATTCATTGTACGAAAATATGGTTAATATATTTTATATATTTTTATTTGGTTCGGGTTAAGAAAAATTGAACCAATTCAGTTCAGGTTCAGAAAAATGAACCTAACCCTACTCGAAATGCTAATCTAACCCAACCCAACAATTATAGTTCGAGTTGAATTGGTTTGGGCGGTTAGTGTCATCGAAAATCTAAAATTACGCCGGGGACCACAAATGCTAAAACTGCAAAATTCGACGGGTCTCCTCTCGTACGACGGCAATGACTTACGGAAGATAGGCGGAAAGCGCCACAACGACATGTCGTATTCTAATCCCTTACGTGGCGGTTGCACAATCCCTTCGAGCGTTTGACTTTTAGTGTGTCTGACAGGTGTCGCTCTATGATTGAAGGTGACGCAAGGAACCTTCGTGGTCGTTGGTGGATTGTAAAGCTGTGTTGGCAGATTGGTGGGTTTTATTGATTGCATTCCACGTCGGGCAACCAACTCAGCTCCCCTTTCCACTTACTTTCTACACTCCTTTTTATAATATTCTATTTTAAAATTTTCAATAAACGTCATAAATAAAATTGAATAACAATTATTCCATGAAAGGGACATTTTCGTAAATATATTGATAATGCATTTTAAAAAAAGTGGATTCAAAATCTTAATTAAAAAAATATGCTTAACCTATGTGGGTAGCTCCTAGCCTATTTAAATTAAAAAAATTAAGACAAAGTATAATAGCCTAAGACTACCGCTAAGAGTATACTGTTTGAACTTTTCTTTTCAGATTTCATTTTATGGTTTTAAAATGGGTTACACCTGTATAAAGAATGTTTCGTTCCCCTTCCCAATCGAAGTGGGATCTCACAATCCACCTCTCTTAGGGGCCTAGTATCTTCGATGTGCACACTGTCTGATGTCTATCTCTGATACCATTTAGAAGAAATTATCAGCTAAGAAGAGGTTTCCACACCCTGATAAGAAATGTTTCGTTCGCGTCCACTAGTAAGAAGTTTCCACACGCTTATAAACAATGTTTCGTTACTCTCTCCAACCAATGTGAGATATCACAATCCACTCCCTTGAGAACTCAACGTCCTCATTGGTACACTGTATGGTGTCTAACTCTAATACCATTTGTAACAGTCCATGCTCACCCCTAGAGATATTGTCCTCTTTGGGCTTTCCCTTCCAAACTTCCCCTTAAAACGCGTCTACTCGAAAAAGGTTTGTACACCCTCATAAGGAATGCTTCGTTTTTCTCTCCAACTAATATGTGATATCACACAAAGTTTCGACCCTTTTAACTTCATGTCATAAAACAACAATATATAATCACTATACCCTTTTAATCAAAGTTGGTTAAATTATTAAATCGTTATACTCTAAGCCATAAATAGTAAAACAAGTAGATCATTACAATCGTCGGTACATTTCTAACCGTTATCACTCAACCAATATCGATAGCTAGTAGTAGCACGATTTCGATTGGTAATCTAAGACAAAGTTGCAAAACCCTTCTTGATTTGAGATATGATATGAGGTGTGCAATGATGGAGGGGATTGAAAACAAAATAGAAAGGAATCTTGAATGTAAATAAAGAAAGTAAAGCTTTTTAAAGGCTTTGGATTATAATGGAAAAATGGGTTGCTTTTAGTTTCTTCTTTAGTTGCCAAAGTGACACCTAAATTTCCACCAAAAAACAAGAGAGAGGAAGAGAATGAATGTGGTTTGGAGTGTTTGAGACATTCGTAAGGTAATTGTGAGTGCCTTGAGAAGTAAGGCAATGTGGTTGGGACATTATTGGCTCATTAGGATTCCTTCGCCACCCTCAATGTCATCTCTCCTCACCACTTATCTTGTCCCCAATGGCTCAATCCAATCCGAGATCTGAGTGTTTTCAAAAAATTCAATGACTCGAAATATTCGATCAACTCAATCATTTCCTCAAACAAAGTACACTATAGAGCCTCCTCTGAGGCCCATGGAGCCCTCGAACAGCCTCCCCTTAATCGAGGCTCGACTCCTTCTCTGGAGTCCTCGAACAAAGTACACCTTTGTTCGAAACTTGAGTCACTTTTGACTACACCTTCGAGACTCACAACTTCTCTGTTCGACATTTGAGAATTCTATTGACACGGCTAAGTTAACTGCATGACTTTAATACCATGTTAGGAATCACAATATCATACTATTGTAGAGAATTGTGATTCCTAACCGTGTTGAGTTTAAATAAATATAAAAATACCTTTAAACTGTGTAAGTTGGATCAATAATACTCAACTTTCAAAAGTTTTAATAATACCCTTAAACTAAAAAAAATAAACCTTAAACTTTCAAAAGTGTTCGATAAATATCTTTGGATATAATCTATGAGGTATCAATAAACGGGTTTCATTCATATATTGATGGTAAAAATATTTTAAACGTTTTTTTATAACGATAAATGGTTAAAATTCATAGATATTTTAAATCCAACCCCTTCCATATGTTATTATCAGTAAATCCAACCTCTTCCATATGTTATTATCATAATACTAAGCTCATTATAACTAAAAGCCATCATAAAAAGAAAAATAATATGAATCATGTGAGGTAAAAATTAATTTACCAATTAAAGTCAACGATTTCTAATTTCTATAATATAATAATTGATAATCAAGATAATTATTAACAATTTTTTTCACATTTTCTCCAATTATTTCAAAAAATATTCCCAATTTATTTAAATTATTCTTAATTTCTTGTCTCTCTCACACGTGTCCCCATCTTCCACCTCAGATTTTGTTCTTCCATTATATATACATATATATATATGTATATGTCCCTTCTTGCATGCAATCTCTCAATCCATTGGTTTGATTTTTCCTAAATTTATTCTTAATTTCAGTTTCTATGAAATTTGGCAATTTGTTAACCGACGACGACGGCGATTATCCGACGCCGAGCAGTTCCGATGCCGCCGATAGTTGGCCGACCAGCGATGCGTCGCCGTGGAATCAAACTTACCCCTTCATGAAATCTCCCTGTTTTCCTCAACTTCAAAACGGCGTCGTTCACCGGAATACTTCTCTGATTGGGTCCCTTGTTCGTGAGGAAGGCCACGTGTACTCCCTGGCCACTGCCGGCGAGCTGCTCTACACCGGCTCCGACAGCAAAAACATCCGGGTCTGGAAAAATCTCAAGGAATTTACTGGGTTTAAATCCAGCAGTGGATTGGTTAAGGCAATTATAATTTCCGGCCAAAAAATCTTCACCGGTCACCAAGACGGAAAAATTCGTGTCTGGACCGACGGGCACCGGCGGGCTGGGACTTTGCCGGCGATGAGAGACGTATTGAGAAGCTTGATTAACCCGCAAAACTACGTCGTTTTGGGAAGGAACCGGAGCCGGCTTTGGTTTAAGCATGTCGATGCGGTTTCGAGCTTGAGCTTGGGTGAAGATGGCGCGATATTGTACTCTTGTTCTTGGGATCGAACCATGAAAGTTTGGAGAATTTTGGATTCGAAGTGTCTTGAATCGATTATTGTCCATGATGACGCTGTCAACGCCATAGTTGCAGCTCCGGACGGCTCGGTCATTACCGGCTCGGCGGATGGTTCGGCTAAGGTTTGAAAATTAAATGACTGTTGAGCTAATTTAAGAATTGATCCTAGATTTATATAAATTATGAATATTATCTCTATGGTTAGGATATTAATGGTGAAATTAGTGATGACTGCGATCATTTAATAAAAATATTTAATTATAAATATTTTTTTTTGAAATAGGTATGGCGGAGGAATCATGAAGTAGGGGATGATGCAACAAGGCACACACTCGAACAAACGCTACTGAAGCAAGATAGTGCGGTGACGGCGGTGGCCGTCAACGCCGCCGGTACGGTGGTATACTGTGGATCCTCCGACGGAGTGGTCAACTTCTGGGAGAGAGAAAAGCGGTTGACTTACGGCGGGGTGCTCAAGGGTCATAATCTGGCCGTTCTTTGCCTTGCTACGGCGGGGAACTGCATGGTACTCAGCGGCTCTGCCGATAATAACATATGTGTGTGGCGGAGGGATGGGCTTTTTCACACGTGTGTGACGGTGCTGATGGGTCATACCGGACCTGTGAAATGCTTGGCTGTGGAGGAAGATCTCCGCCCGTCTAAACGTGGCGGTCGGTGGTGGATTGCGTACAGCGGCAGCCTTGATAGATCGGTGAAGGTGTGGGGTGTTCCCGACGGCTACTGATCGGAATTTGTCACGGTGGTTGCTGATCAATATGGAGGAAATGAGAGGTTCCACGTGGCAGAAACAAATCATTATGTGGCTGATTATCTGACACGTGGAATGAAAAGTGACAAATTTGTCGTACAAAATAGTTCGAAAGCATTATCTCTAGTTTCAATTACACAATTAAACTTGGATTATATTTCTTAAATACACACTAAATTACTGATTTACCCCTTTCTTCAATCATGGTTGTGTGAGAATGACGTACGAGCTTTAGACCCGAACATTTATTACAAACGTTAAAATGGGTATGAGATACAATTACAACATAAAATACAAAAGATTCAAACACAAAGACGAACTGATGTTTTGGAACAACTACCTCTGTGATTGCGCAACTCTAGAATGCTCCTCCATCTCGATCGACAACCTGCGAACACTTGAAAAAGAAAAGAAAGGGGAAATAAGTGAGTATATAGTTTTACACTAGGCTCTAAGTGAAGGGCTCTTGCTGTTCACCGACTTGGGTAGCTAGCTTAGCTTACACGACGGTAACCGATATTTGATGTTGAGGCGCTACCTCAAAGACTCTCTCTATTAGGTGGGGACAACATGGTAAGTGCTAGCCTGCTCGTCATCAATGAGAGGTTAGCTGGAGAACCCGTCTCATAAGCCATGTAGTGGGCGAAGGTTGGGGGGGAGCGACCCTCCTGTACGTGCCAGCTCTGCTGAATACTTGCATGATCAATGCCTCATATCCCATGCAGAGTAATCCAAGCGAACTTTCAAGTCAAACGTCCCTAACCAGCATGAATCCTAGCTGAACGGTACTATACCAAAGTCGAAAGGAAAGTGGAATCTTTACGGTTATCGTGGCGGTCTTCTAGGTCCCTAGGGTGGTTTGGCATCCTTGACATGGATTCACATATGAAGGTTTCTTGGTTCTGACTTCTCGAGTCTGGTTCGGTTAGGAGGACTAAAGCTACACCATTTGATCGTTACTCACAACTCTAATGCGCTCAGACTATTGGAGGCGTTCCACCCTAAGTTATTGTTTAGTCAAAACTTATGATGTTGTGGGAGGGAGACGCGCATCCTCAGCTTGACATGTGGTGGCCTCTGATTCGTGCATTCAGCTCCTCATCTCGAATTCAATTTCTCATGGGCGTGTTTTCCTTTGATTTTTGTCGTAATGACACGTGACATACTCGAGGCGGGTCGCGGTTCACAGGTCGATTGGTGTTATGGGTCGGATCATTCAGAAGCGGTGGAATCCTTTACTTAGTATCCGACATGTGTCCCACAACATTTTCAACACGTGTTATCTTCTCGGCCAGCCATGCAACATCTCTACTCGCAACCAAATTCAATCTTTTCAATCTTCTTTGATTTTCTTTAATTTCACATCGGAGCTCGGGCGTTATATTTCATAGTCATTTTGAAGCTAAACCCAAACCGAGATTTAAAAAAAAAATGTGTATATCAACCCATTTGGTTCTTCCCTAGAATGGTACCATATGCAAAGTAAGTATGCTACTCATGTGTGTGGATATGAACAGGCACCGACTGTTTTGACAGTACTATGGGCCTTACGAAGCAGCAGCTGGTAGCCACTGAGTTGTTAGAATGATGCATTCAAAAACCATATCACCTGATGCTATGCGTTGAGGCCCCATCCTATTCATTGCCCTTTCAGTTAATGTTTTTGTTTTTATCCCTCGCTTTCAACCTTCTAATTTTCAACCAACAATCATTGAACTTTAAATTAAAGAAATGAAGAACACCAATATTGTGTTTGTGCTTTGGTGGCTCTTTAAGATCCTTTCGATCTTCTATGCGTGTTCATCTTTGGGTTAGAGGTGATAGCTTTGTCCCATCAATTTGACTCGAATTATGGACCTGATCTTTAATTCTATATCGCTTAACAATGCGACAAAAGAAGTTTATTATAATTGCTTAATCCCACTACTGGTAGATATTGTCTGCTTTGGCTCGTTACTTATCATTGTCAGCCTCACAGTTTTAGAACGCGTTTACTAGGGAGAAGTTTCCACACGCTTAAAGGGATGTTTTTGTTCCTGTCTTCAACCAATGTGGGCTCTCACGTTTATCTTTTATCATTTTTTTCATCAAAGTTAGCGTAGTCGAGGCTCATTCATGCTCAATCTCAATAGACGAATTTTCGATTTGATCTGTCTCTCAATAAGAAACTGCTCTGAAAGAGTCAAACAACGGGAGAAAGAAAGTATAGAGTCACAAATGGGAAAGATCGCAGGATAGAGACTATAAATTAATCACGAAATTGAGCTGTATAGAGACTAAAAAATTAGACAAATAAAGCTTCTTCGATGAAGGAATTTGTATAAGATCACAAAATCGAGCTAGATAGAGAGTAAAAATTAGAGAAACAGAGCTTTTTCGATTGAGAAATTTGTATAAGATCACGAAATCGAGCTGGATAGAGACTAAAAATTAGAGAAACAAAGCTTCTTCGATTGAGAAATTTGTATAAGATCACGAAATCGAGCTAGATAGAAACTAAAAATTAGACAAATAGAGCTTCTTCGACTGAGAAATTTGTATAAGATCACGAAATCGAGTTGGATAGAGACTCTAAATTAGACAAATAGAGCTTCTTCGACTGAAAAATTTGTATAAGATCACGAAATTGAGCTGTATAGAGACTAAAAAATTAGACAAATAAAGCTTCTTCGACAAAGGAATTTGTATAAGATCACGAAATCAAGCTTGATAGAGACTAAAAATTAGACAAATAGAGCTTCTTCGACTCATAAATTCGTATAAGACGAATCATGAAACCGAGGTGCTATTAATAAATTATCATTTTCTCTTTAAACAAAAACCTTAAAATCTAAGAACACAAAACAAAAACAAACCAAAAAAAATGTCAAAATCAAACATCTCTCTTTACTCTCTTGATCATAACATATACAACAAAGGAAGATCTCAATGAGATTACACAATCTTCACCTCTCCAACAAGAACTCATATAGAAATATTAAGAACTAATAACAAAAACCCACATCAATTATGTTAAGAACTATAAGAAAAACCCACAAAGATGAAGGCTTTAATTAGTTTTAGCATTTAAGAAGGGGAAGTTCAGAAGATGAAGAGTGAGTATTAGACTCAATTGTAAGAGCAGTTGGGCATCCAAGAGTGATATCTAAGTTTAGCTTATTAATATTTGTATGATACACACCGCCATGATGATGATCACACAACGACAAGCAGCTACCTTCCAACCTCTGCTTCTTAATGCCGCTCGAGATTTCGATGCTCGCTTTGTGTCGGTCCAGCTGTTGCTGCTGCTGCTTCAAACCAACCAAAGAAAAAGGAAAAAAAAAAAAAAAAACAACTATTTTTGGTTATAGAGGGAAAAGTTCGTGTCTTTAAGGTTGTTTTTAGACATGTCGTGTTGTATTTATTATATGTATACAAACCTGGTTGTTTCCAATATTGTTGTTGTTGTTGTTGCTGTAATGTTGACTCCATCTCGTCGTCATCTCTTGATTTGTCTCCATTGATGAACAGACCAAGTTCCTGATTAATCGTTAATTAACCCACTAATTTACATTAGTTTACCACACTAATTGTATACTTCTTTTTTTTTTTTTTTTTTTTTTTTATTTTTTTTTTTCCAATCGCAGTTTCTTCTTACAATAGCTATGATGCATTTGGGAATGGGTTAAGGAGACATAATTGAGGAAGAGGATGAGGGGTTAGTGGAGAGAAGTGGGAAAATAATTTTTTTTTATTTTTTTTTNTGAATTTCGAGAATAAATTATGATAATCAAGAATAAATAACATCGACCCATTTGATAATATATGGTTATTGAAAATTAAGCTCATAAACACGACTTCAGTAAACTCTTATGGGTTGTATCCGAAGATATGAAAAAGGGGACGTTTTTATGTCAGCAGAAGCTCGAGCTCGTGGAATTACTGATCTCATAGCGGTTGAATATAAAAATAGTACGAATTTCTCGCAAAAATTCGAAATTTGATTCGTGGGTTTCTTGTTTCGTTATCGATTTTCAAAATCTAAACGAAAATGCAAGAGCTTGGGAAGAAAATCACTCACATTTGATCAGAGCTTTTCCACATTGGGTTAGAGATCTCAGCACCACTTGGATCAACTTCTTGTCTTTGGTTCTTCAAGGCTGAGTATGCAAATTAACATCAACAATCAAAGCATCCATTTCACCAAAATTGATCAAAAAAACCCTAAATCATTGAAATTTTGAGCAATTTTCAGATCAAAAAAGGAAAAAAATTGTAATTACCAGTTGATTTGTCAGTGCTTTTCACTGTTCTATACATCTGAATAAACACAAAAAGATTTTAAATTAAAAAAAAAAGGAAAAAAAATTCAATAATTTGTGATTAATTCCTTAATTTCAATTAATTAACCAAAACCCACCTGTAAATGACTCTTTACATGAGCTAGGGTTAGATCCTTCACATTCATAAGCTCCAAAACAGATTTTGGTGTTGCCCCTAGAAAAAAAAAACAATCAAAATGAGCTTAAAAAAACATTAAAATTTGAATTTGATTTGCATTTCATATGAATTCAACAAAACATATACTTTCATGGCCGCCAAGCAGCTGAACGGCATGGACAAAATGAGCATGAAGCGTTGTAGTCCATCTCATTCTTGGAGCTCTAATACCCATTTTTGCAGCTCTTTTAAAATGGCGGCCATAGATTTGAGGTAGGTGGTCGTTAAAATGGCGGCCATTGTTGAAGCTTGTTTCAAGCTCAAGAGGTAGACCCATATGGGGTTTAGCCGGAAGATAAAACCCAGTTGCGGCGGCAGTTTCATGGCTGAGATCGCTGCCGGTGCTGCCGGAATTGGAGGGCGGACTTATGTGCAAGGAGAGGTCCGGGAGGGGAGGAGGCGTGGTGGGATGGGAGGAGGTGAACATGGAGGGAATTTGGAGGAGATCGAGGAAAAAGGTGGTGACCCTTTTGAGATTATGAGTGGATTATGATTTGGGAGAAAGAGATGGAGAAAGGGGTTTGGAAAAATGGGATCTTTGGAGGAAAGATGAAGATTTTAATGGGTTTATAAGGGGAAAGTCCTAGAGAGAGAGAGAGAGAGAGAAGGGGTTTTGGGTATTAGTTTGAGTAATAAAAAGGGTGGGAAGGAGTGAAAAAGTTGAAACTTCTGTATGCATTTAATACTCACAGATGGATCAGACAGC